GGTGCAGAACAGCAGCAAGGGCAAACACTGGGGGTGCCTCGTCCCATTCAAGCGATGAGGAATGTGTGCCATCTGAGTTGTGTTTTTTTGGCAAAGGCCGTGCCCAATCTTTCCATTAACTAGAATGGGGATACACTCTTCAACGGCACTCTCATTGTGTTTCGGTCGTTTGTTATCAAGATGTGAATCTGGCCCGAGGCTAATGCCGATTTTTGTGGGGTGGAACCAGTGGCGCTGTGGTACGCGAGCTGCATTATGAGCACGGACAAAAAACTGAGTTTGATTCCTGGACCAGAGGCTCTGATCAATGACGAGTCACTGGCTGGTCATAAAACAAAGGCGGGCACTGCATCGCGCCCTTTCGGATGCGCTTCTGTGGCCGTCTGGAACGCTCTTCCATCTGATATTAGGAAGCCACCGGAGCTATGCACTTTTAAATAATCAGCACGGTTGGCTACAGACGCTGTGAGAGAAGTTCAACATTGAAACCGCATTGAAACAGCGTGGTGAAGTATAGTCAATCTTGATTTGATTTGATAGTCAAACAACCCACATGACCAACATGACAGAGGACACCTTCATCCAACAGTGAGTTAACTTCAAAGCTGTGAAGATGTTCTGTGGAGGTTTTCTGGCTTTGCTTGGGAAGTTGCGATTGTGGTCTGTGATGTGCAGGAGATCTAATGAATTAATGTATCTCTTGTTGTGATATCTTTGTTGTTGTTGATGTTTGTGCTTTTTGTTTTGGTGCCATTCACTTAATTTGTTTATTCATTTTAGATTTTGCTCGGTAGTAGGGTATTAATTTGATTGATAGTGGCTATACGTTGTATTTGGTCCTTACATATAATGAGCGTGCATCGTTGTGGGATGCCATTCGCATGAATGACGCTATTAAAATGAAAAAAAAATGGTTTAAACCTTCATGGACTGAGCCTGGAATGATACATGCTGGTTCCGTATAAAGATATAATAATCTTATTATATTAACCCAGCCCCTTTACGGAGGCCGCTGTGCCCACGAATAGCAGCAGCAGCAGCGGCTCCTCTCCGTTGCTGATTTTTACCTCTCATTCCTCTGCCACCCCAGTGCCTCCCCTACCTCCCCAGTGCCTCCTCTACCACCCCTCCCCTACCACCCCAGTGCCTCCCCTACCACTCCAGTGCCTCCCCTACCACCCCAGTGTCTCCCTACCACCCCAGTGCCTCCCCTACCACCCCAGTGCCTCCCCTACCACCCCAGTGCCTCCCCTACCACCCCAGTGCCTCTACTACCACCCCTCCCCGACCACCCCAGTGCCTCCCCTACCACCCCAGTGCCTCCCTTACCACCCCAGTGCCTCCCCTACCCCCCCAGTGCCTCCCCTACCACCCCAGTGCCTCCCCTACCACCCCAGTGCCTCCCCTACCACCCCCGTGCCCCCCCTACCTCCCCAGTGCCTCCCCTACCACCCCAGTGCCTCCCCTCCCACCCCAGTGCCTCCCCAGTGCCTCCCCTACCACCCCAGTGCCCCCCCTACCACCCCAGTGCCTCCCCAGTGCCTCCCCTACCACCCAGTGCCTCCCCTACCACCCCAGTGACCCCCCTACCACCCCAGTACCTCCCCTACCACCCCTCCCCTACCACCCCAGTGCCTCCCCTACCACCCCAGTGCCTCCCCTACCACCCCTCCCCTACCACCCCAGTGCCTCCCCTACTACCCCAGTGCCCCCCCTACCACCCCAGTGCCTCCCCTACCACCCCTCCCCTACCACCCCAGTGCCTCCCCTACCACCCCTCCCCTACCACCCCAGTGCCTCCCCTACCACCCCTCCCCTACCACCCCAGTGCCTCCCCTACCACCCCTCCCCTACCACCACAGTGCCTCCCCTACCACCCCAGTGCCTCCTCTACCTCCCCAGTGCCCCCCCCCCCTACCACCCCAGTGCCTCCCCTACCTCCCCAGTGCCTCCTCTACCACCCCAGTGCCTCTCCTACCACCCCAGTGCCTCCCCTACCACCCCTCTCCTACCACCCCAGTGCCTCCCCTACCACCCCAGTGCCCCCCCCCCTACCACCCCAGTGCCTCCCCTACCTCCCCAGTGCCTCCTCTACCACCCCAGTGGCCTCCTCTACTACCCCAGTGCCTCCCCTACCACCCCTCCCCTACCACCCCAGTGCCTCCCCTACCACTCCAGTGCCTCCCCTACCACTCCAGTGCCTCCCCTACCACCCCAGTGCCTCCCCTACCACCCCAGTGCATCCCCTACCACCCCTCCCCTACCACCCCAGTGCCTCCCCTACCACCCCTCCCCTACCACCACGGTGCCTCCCCTACCACCCCAGTGCCTCCTCTACCACCACAGTGCCTCCCCTACCACCCCAGTGCCTCCCCTACCACCCCTCCCCTACCACCCCAGTGCCTCCCCTACCACCCCTCCCCTACCACCCCAGTGCCTCCCCTACCACCCCTCCCCTACCACCCCAGTGCCTCTCCCTACCACCCCTCCCCTACCACCACAGTGCCTCCCCTACCACCCAGTGCCTCCTCTACCACCACAGTGCCTCCCCTACCACCCCAGTGCCTCCCCTACCACTCCAGTGCCTCCCCTACCACCACAGTGCCTCCCCTACCACTCCAGTGCCTCCCCTACCACTCCAGTGCCTCCCCTACCACCCCAGTGCCTCCCCTACCACTCCAGTGCCTCCCCTACCACTCCAGTGCCTCCCCTACCACTCCAGTGCCTCCCCTACCACCACAGTGCCTCCCCTACCACCCCAGTGCCTCCCCTACCACTCCAGTGCCTCCCCTACCACTCCAGTGCCTCCCCTACCACTCCAGTGCCTCCCCTACCACCACAGTGCCTCCCCTACCACCCCAGTGCCTCCCCTACCACCCCAGTGCCTCCCCTACCACTCCAGTGCCTCCCCTACCACCCCAGTGCCTCTACTACCACCCCAGTGCCTCCCCTACCACCACAGTGCCTCCCCTACCACCCCTCCCCTACCACCCCAGTGCCTCCCCTACCACCCCAGTGCCTCCCCTACCACCCCTCCCCTACCACCCCAGTGCCTCCCCTACCACCCCAGTGCCTCCCCTACCACCCCAGTGCCCCCCCTACCACCCAGTGCCTCCCCTACCACCCCAGTGCCCCCTCTACCACCCCAGTGCCTCCCCTACCACCCCAGTGCCTCCTCTACCACCCCAGCCATCCGTCCACCATTTTCTCAGTCGTCCTCTGCCCCCGTTCCTCTCTACCTTGCCGGAGGCAACGCACGCCTGCGCCCCAGCAACTCGGAGGAAGCGTTTGGTGGATCGCACAGGGATGGAACAGCCGCGTGTGGGCAGTGATCGGCACACTGCACTTTAAAACAGCCGCTCTAAATTCGATTCCACGCATTGGATAAGTGGCCGTCCATAAATGACGTCACGCGATTTTGAACGATTTTTGACCCCCCCCCCCTCGTCACACGGCGTCACAAAAAGTCAGACCAGACCTCAAATATGACGTCACAAAGCTCTGCCCCCCCCCCCCAAAATAAAACATGCTTCAAATCGCTTTAAACTATTGTCATTGTTGTGCTTATTTAATGTGGCGCTGCACTCTGATGTTGTAGGAGAAAACTTATATTACAAAGTCTATTTCATTAAGTAGAACGTGTTGTCTATATTTATTTAAAATTGCACATTTTGATGTGAACGTCACATTTCTCACCCCCCCCCCCCTCGTCACACATCGTCACAAATGTCTGACCCCCTCCCCTAGGTGCGTGACGTCATTTATGGACGGCCCCTTAACAAAGGACCGACAACTGCAATCTGTTCACATCCACGCAGAACTGCCAACGTACTTGAGATGACCATTGCTCAATGCTCCCTTGAGCGCAGGGCACATTGACTTCATAATCATTTTCTAATCGTTATTTACCACCGCACGAGAGCCTCATTGACAGCACGGACATCGGGTTTATCAGGACTGGGCGAGAATTTGTCAATCCATTTCAAAACGAGGGAGGTGTCTGCCTCACGCAGTCCACTCCCAAGCGTTCCGCTCCCTAATAAACAACTCATCGTTCAGCTTTGCGTAAGGCGCATAGGGAATCGTACGAATATCGACGCGCATGCAAATACGCGTCTGTAGTTTAGTCCTGTGTTATGATGGCAGCAACATGGTTCACGAGCGCGATGCCAATGTCGAGGTCTGCTGCGAGCCACAACGAAGAGGGCTTCAGGAGGGAGTTTGTGTCCGTACTTCTTTTAAATCCTTTATATTAAGTCCACTTGCTTGCTTGCTTGCGCGCTAACGACCGTGCAAATCTTTCGGTCGTTTTTTAACCCACTTCCCGTGATCCAATCGAGCTGACATTTTGCACACAGACTCGTTGTGCGTGACAATTTATTTTCGTGAAAATATTTTTCAAAAATTTTACACTTTTTAGGAATTTATTTTTATATTTAATTACCAATTGCTTAATGGTGGCAGGCAATCATCTGACCCATAGGTGGCAGCCATCTCAAGCCAGAGGACGAGAGGACTCTAGCCGCCACGCATATAAAGGATTTATAGTGAAAAACTTTGTTTTTACGGGTTAATTTTTTTTCCTCTTCTGTAGAAGGAGCGCAGAGTAAGAGTGATTTCACTCTACGCTCCATAGGTTGAGTTGCATGACCAAAATCGTACCACTGGGTCATGTGTCTTTCATGTGTCTCTGTGAGTCTCTACGTATCTCTGCACAAATCTAGATTAGATTACGTATCTTTGGTGAGGCTCGATGTGTCTCTGTGTATCTGGATGTCTTTACTATACGGTCCATAGCTTGGGTTGTATGGTCACAATCACACCTCTAAGGCTTGTGTCCTCAATTCTCCATTCTTGAAGGAGATCTACGCACCGGCCTGCTCTTGATGTTCTAATGCGGTTGATGGTTCCACCGCCGGTGTCTTCGACGAATGTCACAGCGGGTGTAATATTACACCTGGTGAAAGAGAAGTTCATGTTTAATCTTCAAATAAATAAACACGATTTTTTGGAATATAAATAATTGATATATTCTACAAGATACAGACTACAGCAACACTAAGCTTCCATGCACGTACATACAATGCATTTTTTTAATATATCATCTGCCAAATACGGAATGTAAATGCAATACTCTATGTACAATAATCACGGCGACAGTGTGATATGTCACACGATGTAAGATCCACGGTAATGACATCGTCAGTTTTGCTAAGTAGCATCACATGTGATTATCGTTGCTCATGAAACACATTCTAAGCGTTTTATTTCCTGACTAATGTAAAAAAAATCAATCTTCTTCATTTGTAAATACATATCTATTATCCATTATATCTAATTTTTCCAAAATTATTTTTGGCTTAAGAGACAACGACGATTATGATATGAGGGCATAATTTGCGTAGTCAGTTTAAAGAATGTGTTTTAGTGTAGCTGACGGAAGGCGGTTGAGGTCACCTTCCTCGTCACCGAAAAGACAGCAAAGAACAAAAACAATCCTATGCAAATGTGAAGACAATCACGGAGTTATGGAAAACCGACGTGACGACGGTGGTCGCATCGGTAACACTTAGAGCAATGCGTCATGAACATTGACATCTCTGGGAGCCGCAGAAGCGACAATGACGAATGCGGCATGAGCAAATAAACACCGTGCACAAATACAAGGTGTGGGTCATCGACCAGGTCACACGCTGCTGCTCTATAAATGAGACGTTTTGTTGTTGGAACTATAGGACAGCTGCTTTCAGCCCCAGAGGCCCACGTAAAATGCCACGTCCCGGCAGTCTGTGACGATTACGCAACATTCTTGGGACTCGCCGTCACGCGTCGATAGCCGGAACACCGCCACCGTAAATCAACAGAAGTGATCCGAAATCACTGCGGCGGGGAGAACACGAAGTGTCATTTCGAGGCAAAGTGCGCGTGCGTCAACAGCGAAGCGCGTGTCTCCGTACAGGTTCATCACATGCGTCAGAGGTTGTCCGCGTGCGGTTTGTCTCCAGCCGTCGTGCAGATATTCCTTGAAATGGAAACAAAAATGTGTGTTATGGAAGAACCCCGTTGCGATCGATTCAGAGAGGGATGTGAATGGCATGCGGATGAATCACAGGAAAAACTAAAATAGCGATTTGGCTCTTGCTACTGAGACGCTTTGTCACGTTTGCATCGATACCTTTTCCCGCCCTGCTCTGCACTTGTTACGCGAACAGTCGTATATCATAACCAGAGCATAATTACGGTGTCCGGAAAGATGTCATTCCTTGGTATGTGTGTGTGTGTATTGAGTCCTAGTGCGGAGTCGCAGTGGAGTGGTTAGCGCGCTGCGCTATGAACCCGGCGATCCGGGTTCGATTCCCACTCACGGTCAACACCAGTGACGATTATTTTCTGAATCGGTCCTGGGCCTCCCCTAGGTCGACTCAGTCTTAAATGAGTACCTGGTGCGGTGGGTAAATATTGCCACTGGGGAGACAAAGGCGGCCGGGCGTAGTGCGGCCACCCACCCCCTCGTGTACCGTCCCGGCCTTCATAGGTGCTACAGTCTGTTAAGGCCATATGGGGGGTCTTTGTCTTTGATGTGTTGAACTTCATCAGGCACGATTTATCCACTGCTGGAAAACTCCCCCAAGACGGCTCGCTCCTGCGTGGCGTTCCCTCCTGTTGGCTGCCATTCAGTCATTCGTCTCAACCATCGACGCGTCGTGCCCAAGCCCACTTACAGTTCTCAACAGTCAACGTGACGTCCCTACTCTGCGTCAATCGTCAACGACTGGACATCTGTGTAAAAGAGCTTCATGGCTCATCGGATTCCTCCAGTATAAATAAATATCCGCGCGTTCCCGCACATCTTCACGCTTCCATGGTGGTGTGGAATTTCCCGGGTCGTCCGTTGTTGTTTTTCCTCCACATTTTAAATCGACATGCGTTTAGAGTATTTGGCTGCTATACGTTTACACATGATAAGCCACTTTGCTGAGCTATCATTTGTGGCAGCGGCTGAAAAAAGAGCTGTATAGCTCAGAGGGCCATGCCTGGTAAAACATAAAGAAACTGTTTAGTTTTCATTCGTTGTTGTTGAGCGAACTTGTTTCACGCAACTTAAATTTTGCTCACATTTATCTTGAGCCCATCTTATACCCAGCTCGATTCATCTCAAGTTCTTTAATACACTTCCCTGGTTCATTTGCATTGGTCGTTTAAAGGATGATGTCATCAGCATATCTGAGATGGATAAACTTTACCCATTTAGAGTTCAAGTCTTTATTTCTCCCAAATATGTATACTTCCTTAATAACGGATGATGATGTTATATTATTGGTTATTTCGGTAAAGTCACGCAGAAGGGAAATAATAAAATAATATAAATATGAAACAATACAAATTTTCACGAAGTTTTGACTGCAACACAAGCAATCATCATCAGGTGTGTTGCAGTCGAAACGTCGTGAGAATTTTTATTGTTTGATATAAATATTATTTTATTATTTCCCTTTTGCGTGACTTTACCGAAAGAACCAAGAATATGAATCACTGCAGTCACGAAAGCTTTAAATCAAAAATATGATGATGTCATAGTGGCTTGAATTCATTCGCACATTCATATTTATATTAATGAGATTGCCTTAGCCTAGCAAACAAAACGTGTTTGTTCATGTATACATGGATTTGCTACAGCCAATCAGTATTCTGCGTGTGAGGTGGAGTTTGGAAGAGTAGGCCAAATTACGCTCGAGCAGGCGCTTTATAGAGTTGCCACTTGTGAATGACCTTCCACCAGCAGCAACGTGGGTCAGCCATTGCGGGGCTGCGCCTTCACCTTCCCAACTCTCCTGCACTGTCCCAAAACCAGTCACAGGAGAGTGGTATGACGTCACTTAGCGTGTGGTTGGTATGACGTTACTTAGTGTGTGGTTGGTATCACACCACTTAGTGTGTGGTTGGTATCACGTCACTTAGCGTGTGGTTGGTAGACGTCACTTAACGCGTGGTTGGTATGACGTCACTTAGCGTGTGATTGGTATGACGTCACTTAGCGTGTGGTTGGTGTGACGTCACTTAGCGTGTGGTTGGTGTGACGTTACTTAGCGTGTGGTTGGTTCACGTCACTTAGTGTGTGGTTGGTATGACGTCACTTAGTGTGAGGTTGGTATGACGTCACTTAGTGTGTGGTTGGTATCACACCACTTAGTGTGTGGTTGGTGGCACGTCACTTAGTGTGTGGTTGGTATGACGTCACTTAGTGTGAGGTTGGTATGACGTCACTTAGTGTGTGGTTGGTATCACACCACTTAGTGTGTGGTTGGTATGACGTCACTTAGTGTGTAGTTGGTATGACGTCACTTAGTGTGTAGTTGGTAAGACGTCACTTAGTGTGTGGTTGGTATGACGTCACTTAGTGTGAGGTTGGTATGACGTCACTTAGTGTGTGGTTGGTATCACACCACTTAGTGTGTGGTTGGTATCACGTCACTTAGTGTGTGGTTGGTATGACGTCACTTAGTGTGTAGTTGGTATGACGTCACTTAGTGTGTGGTTGGTATCACACCACTTAGTGTGTGGTTGGTATGACGTCACTTAGTGTGTAGTTGGTATGACGTCACTTAGTGTGTGGTTGGTATGACGTCACTTAGCGTGTGGTTGGTATGACGTCACTTAGTGTGTAGTTGGTATGACGTCACTTAGTGTGTAGTTGGTATGACGTCACTTAGTGTGTGGTTGGTATGACGTCACTTAGCGTGTGGTTGGTATGACGTCACTTAGTGTGTGGTTGGTATCATTGCACTATCATTGCACCCGAACGCATGGGATTGTTACGAAGGCAGCTGCTATCGTGGTTGTGACTCTTCAGAAGGTTGCTATAATGTGGTTACAAACCCCTATCACAACACCGCGAAAAAAAACCCAACCCCCAAGTGTGTTCTCATGGACCCTGGCAAAAAAAGGCTTAGAAGATGAATAGAGACTGAAACGTGCAGATGCTCCCAACAATTTATGCTCCAGCCTGTTTCTCAGGCCACTTTTTCGCACTTAAACAAAACAATGTTTTTGCCAGTGGCTCCGAACTACCTTTTGTGATAGCATTTGCAACACAAACACAGCTGCCCGGCCACCGCCTCTCCCAGCGTGCCTTGCATGTTGCGCCGCGTCGTTTCTCACGTTCGTGGAGAGGTGTAGAGGTTTTTTTTCTTCCTCTCGTCAACATCTTATTTTCGTTAGTTAAACTCCTACATCATTGCACGTCCATATATGAGGAGGTGAATAAATGTGTGTTTTTTTGTGTACGTTTCTAGTTCTTCTGAAGCACCCTATGCAGACATCATGTGTGCAATGGACTAATAAGTTCACGTTGGCCTTTGTTTCAGTAAAAATCTGACACAAAGAGGATAAGTCTCCGTGAGGTTTTCGTGCAACATTCTCGAATTGCTCCAAAACCTCACCTCACGTGTACAAGCAAGTGTCGTCGCCGTCGTCGTCATCATCATCAACCACGATCGATCCACTGCTGGATGAAAGCCTCCCCAAGCCACCGCCATCCCTCGCGCCCCCGGTGATGTCGCAATCCACCCAGCTCTCTCAAGTTCAAGTTCATCTATTAGGTAGAGCCCTGTGAGCCATGCGGCTCTTAAGTCGGGTGCAACCGCAACAAACAAAATATGAACACACAACATCTTAAAGCGACGATGCGTAACAGAAACATCCCGGAAAAAAAAACAGCAAATATTTAAACAAACGTATTAAAACGCTGTGTGCAAAAATTCGAATGTGGTGCAAGTCAACAATAACAACCATAAGACAATTTAGATTGATAATTGGTTCTTTACCCTTCTATCTGGCAACAAAACTGACACCTTTTTACAAGGAGTCATGTTTGCATAGACCGCAATACCTGCAGTCATAATACAAACAAAAGAACATAACTCTGATAATGTGCACTGTCCTTGAAGTTGATTGGTCCACACCCGAGACAGCTTTCCTTAGAGCCTAGTCTCATATGGGTTGGACCAGATGACGCCAAAAGGCGCACAACTCAAAGACAATGCACCATCAGAGTATGAGAGCTCGGGGCAAGCATCTACACTATGGGAACCTCATTTGCCAGTAAAAATATGATAATTGGTTCTTTACCCTTCAATTAACCATGTGTTTTCAAATCACCAAAATAAAGCTATAAAAACAATGTAACAACAGTAATCATAGGAACTGTGATTACAAATTTAACAATAAACAATATACATAACATGTACGACCAACCTTGCAGCCATAGCTGGCAGCATGACACTCCAAGTGTATGATGTGTGAGTGAGTCAGTGGTAGTGTGAGTGAGTGTATGATGTGTGAGTCAGCGTATGATGAGTGAGTCAGTGTATAATGTGGGTACGGGGAGCTCATGGCAGTGTGGCACTGGGGCGATGGATGAAGGAAGGATAGCAGGTATATTCTTGCCAGTCCCACGTTTGGAAGGGTCCACCATGCAGAAGTAGCAGTTGCTTGAGTGGTCAGTGAGTTCCCGCAAAATTATTGGGATAGCAAACGTCATGGCTCTCTTTTCCCCTCTGGAGCATCCTCCAAAATTACATTTATTTCATCCATGACTAATGTGTAAGAGATTCTCGCAACATTTTTCATATATGATATATTTTTTCAATAGCATTGAAATTGTAAAACAATTAAAAATTTAAAACTTTAACAGTTAAAAAAATTGTAACAAATTTTATAACATACAAATCCGAGCAACAATTGTCCATCTTACCTTCCAGAGTTTTTTTTGCATTTCTTGCAGGTGAAATGAGGTGCCCAGGGTTTGTCTTGATCCCCAACAGGCATGCTGAAATATGCCTTGTAGGCCGCACACACCTTAGCAGATGCTTCCACAGAGTAATTTTTCGCTCTTGTCCTGATAAATTGGCCGCAGTCGTAGCAAAATGCGTCTGCAGGATGTTTACAGCCTTTTTATGCCATCTCAGAAAAATGCAGATATTTATCCACTTAGGCAGCTGGAACTAAACTGGACTGGTGGGCTTGACGCCCCTATATTGATACTACTATTTATATTACTGGAAAGTTCGAGAATGTTCTAGAAGTTACTCCAAGTTTACTCAGCACTGAATCTATCTGGAATGTTCTGGAAAATAGGTTTATTTTAAAACATCACTGTCCTGGTCACAAAAGCAAAGTTTGTGGGGAATAATAGACATTTTATGTACTTTTGAGCCATAAGCAATTAGGAAATAATACTTACTACCCAGGACCAAAAAAAAACCTGTAACACAGTGTTATATAACAAACCGAGTGCATAACCAGCAATGCTAAAACAGTGTTTAAATGTTCAAGCTTTGTGTTTATAGACCTTTATTCAAACATCATTGTTGATGTTCGTGTAACTTCCCACTGCTCGGCAAAGGTCGTCTTACTGCTGCTTGTTGCTGCTACTGCTCGCTGCTGTCTAGCTGCTGTCCGCTTGCTGCTGCTGCAGATTGCTGCTACTGCCGCTGCTGTCTGCTGCTGCTGCAGATTGCTGCTACTGCCGCTGCAGTCTGCTGCTGCTGCAGATTGCTGCTACTGCCGCTGCAGTCTGCAGCTGCTGCTGCTGGTGCCCAACTCTCAGCCTCCACTCCGCAGTTAACTGTTTTCATTTTGTCAATTGTGTCCATCATCTTCCTTAGTTGTTTTGCCGCGGTAGTTGTCCACGTCCTGCTAATTTCCACTTTGATTTTCTTTGGCTTAACAGCAACAGCAGCAGCAGCAACAGCAGCAACAACAGCAGCAGCAGCAACAGCAGCAGAATTGGTGACCCTTGTTCTTTTTCCCACGTCTTCGTTCCTTCACCTCAAACAGGAAATCTTAAATGGCCACTGAGGTCGACTGTGTATTGTCAAGCCGGAGTTGAGTGGCTGGGGTCACGGGCCGAAGGTCAGAGGGCATGTTGTTACAATTACCTGGGCGGTTTAGGAGAAAGTGTGGAGTTAAAACAAATATTCCGCTGCATTGCAGAGCGGGGAAGAATTTAAACGTTGACAGCTACCAGGGTGTTAATCATTGAATATCAATGTACTCCGCCGTTGAGCAGAGTTCTCGCATTATGTGCGTTCGTATTCAAGCATTGTTTGATCCGCTGCCTTTGCGAATAATTTCCGTGCCCTTGGACTGTCTAATGCGCTGGTACTGCCTTTGTTGTTGTTGTTGTTTTCGCATTCAGTGTGGAGGATAAAAGGCAACGGGCTCGCAGCCCGACAGTTTTTTTCTCACCGCCACCCCCGGGTGGCAAGGGGGGGGGGGGGGTCCACTCGAGGGAGCTCTGGAGGGCCACTCCAGAGGAGTGTTTCTCCACTAACTTTCAGAGGGGTGTCTGGAGTTGGGGGGGGGGCACGGGGCACTTTCGCTGATGAGACATCATCAGTGTGTGAGAAGCCCGCCCACACCAATTCAAAACATTGGGGCTTTGACAGCAATTGTGTTTTGTCGGCGGCCGCACGTCACCAAAGGCCGCTAGAGGCCGCCAGTGGCCTGCGGGCCTTGCAATGAAGAACACCGCTTGGGAGGCTATTTTGGCCTAAGCTTCAGACGACTTGGAAGACCTGGGAGTATCCCACACTTTACCCCACCACACGTCACCTGCCGATCAACTGTGCCTGTATCGAGATGTTAACTACCTCGCCTGGTATACATGAGGTCGTATGGTTCGATCCCGACCCTGACGCCTGCTGTATATTTGGAGTTTGCGTGTCTCTCTCTCCCCGTGGTTGCGTGGATTTTTATCCAGGTCCTACAGTTATTCCCTCCACATTGAGAAACACGCGTTTAGAGTATTTCGCTGCTATCAATGTCCATGTGATGAGCCGCTTCGTTGAGCTATCATTTGTGGCCAGGTCACTGCTGAAAAAGAGCTACATAGCTCAGTGGACCTTACTTGGTCAAATAGTTTAGTGGAGGGATTTAAGTAATTTTCCCCATTGGGATATTGAATTGAACCGTCGATTTTTGGATTTCAAAACCAGTGCAGACCATGGCAATATCCCTGAGTATCTGTGTATATATTTCTCACGTGTGAAATAAATATGCATATTAGGTTTCCATAAAGATGTTGTCCTTTATTATGAAAAATATATTTTATTATATACACAACTTTAAACGACAAGGTTGAAATGTTGTCAACAAATTCCCCGATATATATACACACTTTATGTTTCTAAGACGGGAAAGCTTGAGCGATTTTCAACGGCGCACAACAAGAAGGATTTGAAACAATCTCAGCGGAGATGTTGGCGAACATCTGGGGACTTGCTAAATTCTCTCTGCTAGTGGACGGACATGCATAGGTTTCGTAATATTAAGCCTACACGATGCAATCTTCATCCCCCTAAGTGTTTAGTTTTTCTCAACCTGGCACACACCGCTGTCTCGTAATTCTGTAAGAATATATGATATCCCTATGGATATCCTCCATATTCTTGTCCCTTCTTTGCACAAACACATTCGAACCTGAAATATCCCCGAATGTGACACGTATATTTAGTGAGCGGCAATAATTTTGTCTGGTTGAGAGTGATCTTTTGGCTATTTGCAGTGTGTTTTCTTCTGGGAGGTGGGGTCTTATTGCGAGCATTACAAGGTCACATTCTCCGCCTTCTACCTGTATGCACATTCCCTGCAAATTGGCCTGCGTACGTGTGTGTGTGTGCGGTCTGGCCAACTTCCTCCGCAGACAGTGACGGACTCATGCAATTTCAAACAGCAGCAGCAACGGAGTGAGTGAGTGTGTGGGTGGGAATTCAGCCACAGTCTCGGCTCCGGTTCACAAAGCCTAGCAAGCCAAGCGCAGGGAAATTGCTTGCAGACATTGGGCCGTGGGTGGGTGAGTGGCTCTAGCGAACAGAGCCTCACCTCCTCGAACACACTTTTACCAGCTTAGCATTCGACTGCAGCCCAACGGGATTCAAAGGCCTCTCAAAGACGGGCTTGGTGATCGGGGCTTTTGCCAGCGCCGCTCCCCCAAGCTCTTTTGAACGCTTTGCCTTTGCGCTGATGAGACCATCGGAGCCGTTAGATGTATTTACGTCCCGTCTTGAATACTCACCTCTCTAAACTGGCCTTCTCCTCACGAGTTCTGGCCGCTTACCCTATGCAGGTCCGGTTTATGTCCTGCTTCCCATGCACGGCGAATTGGGATCTAAGGTGTAAATGCGCCTTACAAATGTGAATTATTATTATTGCATAACGTGGTAGACTGACGGAATTGGTAAATCCGTGGCAATTAAATTATATATATATTAGATAATAAATGTTCATAAACAAGAAGGCACAAGTCCACCACTCGCAGAGCATGTGGAAGACTGATGCAATCAGTAATCCCCCGCAGTATAATACATTGACCGCGACGTAATCCTCAGCGTCATTGTCGAGAAAATTATTGTCAAAAATGTATAAGCCGACAATGTTACGTCTTCGTCGTACGTCTGTCTTTCCGCGTAAAAAAGAAAACATTCCGTTCACAACTCGAGCGTCCCAACGGCATTCTGGGCAGTTGCATCATTTTCAGCAGCAGCATTGAGTCAGCACAAGAAAGCCCTGGATGGGTTACGACACAACAGACATGGGCCAGACGGCCGGCGACTTGTGGCTGCTGGGCCGTATGGTGGCTCTTCATAATTGACCGCTTCGTGGCACGGTCTGGTGTTCACCACACGTCGCATTGCGGCTCTCTAAATATTGAGTTGTTGTTTTTTTGCTTACCGAATTAGAATATAAAAAACACGGTTCTTCCTTGTTATATATTTTTTTAGGTTGTCAACCCCCTGACTTGGACAAAATGCCCGAAGCTGGGAGAGCGCGAGATCCTCACGGGCAATGCTTTGCTGTAGGCTGACCGAATCACTGAACCACGCGCACTTAAACGAACCAATTGCCACCAACCTACGCCGACTAGCGTGGTGAAGTATGGTCAAAAATATTGGCGCAATTCGCCCCTCCGATTGGCACGGCTGGCTAAGTACGGTACGAAAGAAGTCCAACGTACAGTTTAAAACCAACTCCCAGGATCAAAACAGCCTTTTTATCCAACAGCCCTGAAAGTTGCACACCAGTTTAAATACCCCACGATGTTACGTGTGTGACGTTGTGTTGTGCATGACGTTTCACCGGGGGGAGTTCTTACTTGGCACGAATATCGCAGGATGACGGTCCGGATTTGATAAATGCCGTGCCACGGAGCATTAACAGTGGCCGCATTAAACAGCCACCGCGTCCCCACCATAGGAAGGTGGAATGACCACCGCCAGACAAGGTGGTTCAATAGAGATGGGCGCCGTTGAATGCTTGCGCATTCTCCAAACCCTTTTGGAGGCTTTACCCATTGCTAACGAGACGGTCGGAGTCGTTCAATGAATTGAAGTCCCGTCTCGAAAACTCACTTCTCTAAACTGGACTTTATCCCCCGCTAGTTCCGGCCGTGTACTCTGTGCAGTTTCTGTTCATTTCCTGGCTTTCTATGGACGGCGAATTGTGATCCACGGATTAAATGCGCCCTACAAATGTAAATGATAATGATGAAGGTAACCGCTTGTACACAACTTGTACGACTGACGAGATTTGATCAATCCAGTGGCAATTAAATTATTTTTATGATAATTATTATTGCGCATTCGGTGAGGCAACTGACTTTGCAACGGCCAATACAAATGGCGATCACTTCCACTTGCAGTGGCGCCGCCGCAGACGACTCACTCCTGGCTCTCGAGGAAGGGAGAGAGAGAGAGAACGTCTCGGAGAAGTGCGACGAGGAGGCCGCAGACAAGCGTCAAGGCAGCAGCCCAGGCGGCGAGCCGGCGCCAGCAATTGCCCGAGCTCTGCGGCCCTCTGTATGTTAATATGTTTTCAGCCAATTAAACGAGCGTTTACACGCGGGAGGGCCCAAGCGCCCCGAGAAAACCCACGCATGCGAGGGGGCAACACTCTATCTCATACAGAT